GTCTCTGCAAGTCTCCTGCCTCAGACACTCCAATGCACCACCACACCTAGCATGAAACACTTTATCCTGACTTTTTTGTGGTAGGACAGTGGCCTTGTATATGATGATCAAGTGCTCTCCCACTAAGCTACATTCTAGTTCCTTTGTTCATTTGGTTAGACCCTTGCTAAGCTTAACCATAAAACCTGACCACTATGGGGTGTTCTTAAAGGTGCGCTGAGGCTCAGACCACATCCCCCAAACCTGCCCTTCTTCATCTTGACTCAGCACTCTCATGCTGGTTCACACTGTGGCTGCGACGGTCCTGTTGGTAGTTTATAATTAATATCACCTTCAGTATGGAGTGAAATGCCTTAAGAGGTTTCACTGTCTGTGGAAAAGATGGAAAAGAGACAAGAATTCAGCTCAGGCTGGGGATGGTGCCAGAGAGGAGGCAGGGGTCAGTGAAAGGTCCATGCGAGGGGCATGGGCAGCAATTATATGGCTGTGATCAGTGGGTGCTCAGGAGCCAGAGAGGAAAGCTTTTAAAAAAAATTTTTCAGAGGCCCCAGGGCAGAACAGACACACAACCCTAAACCCCAGGGCCTCCCTATGATGTAAGTGCTCGGAGCAGTTGCCTAGCCACGCCTCTTAGCATGCCCCATCCCTGGAGAGAGGCCAGATCTCAGGAGCCAAGAACTAATGAGGGCTGAAGCCATCTGCACTTGACAATAGAGCTGGAGCCTGACAGTCATAACAGAGCAAAAACAAGGAGCCCATGTACACATTGGTACACGTTTCCGAGCAGCAGGAAAGAGACAGAAAGGGAATGCAGGCTGGGCAAAGCGACCTGTGGCTTCAGGTTCCGGTTCCTCCTGTTAATCTTAGTGCTGTGACTATTTCAGGAGTAAACAGATACTTTGCTCTGGAGAAATTTCTTGAGTTTCTCTCTCTTTCTTTCTTTCTTTCTTTCTTTCTTTCTTTCTTTCTTTCTTTCTTTCTTTCTTTCTTTCTTTCTTTCTTTCTTTCTCTGTGTAACAGTCCTGGCTGCCCTGGAATACACTTTGTAGACCAGGCTGGCTTCAAACTCAGAGATATACCTGCCTCTGCTGGGATTAAAGACACACATGTGCCACCACACCTGGCTTGACATGACACACAGGTTTTGGACATGGGCGTTGACCCCCCCCCCCCAAGGAACACAATCCAGACAGGAGAGAAAAGACGTGGCTATTGTAAAAGTCAGAATAAGGACTCAGGGAACTGTCAGGTAGGGCAGTCAGCAAAGGCTTCTAGTAGACAGCCAGATTTCTGCTGGGCCTGGAAGCTGGGTATGTTTTTAAGAGAAAGAGGTGCACCAGAAAAAAGAGGTGCCTGTGAAAGCAGCGAAAAGCAAAGAGGAATGGTTTGGGTTAGCTTCTTTTTAGGAAGAGAGGAGTTAAACCTGAAAAGTCAGGCTTGTGTCTCCAGCCTTCCCAGGATATCTGCACGTGATCTGTGTTCTGGAAACCACTCCCTCTCTGATAAAAGGGTCAGAATTGTGTGGGTGACTTGCAACAAGAATGTTGCAGGAAGGGGCCAGCAGGATGGCTCAGTGGCTCAGGGTGCCTGCTGCCAAGTCCAGCACCCCGAGTTTGATCTGTGGGACCCACTTGGGATGGGAGAGATCGATTTTCCCAGCAGGTGTTCTGTAAGCCATGGTGTGTGTGCTCCCACCCATAAGGAAGTAAATAAATACAGTACAGTACACTTAACAGAAGAATGTTGTAGCAGACAGTGGTGGGAAAATGTGTTCTCAGTACGCCACTGGCAGTCATGGTGAGGTAACAATGATGTTTATGAAGCAAACACTACAAGAAGGCTCTTACTGGGTGCCAGAAATACTGCAGAGGGAGAGAACAGCAGACCCTCCTTCCTCAGGAGTTTGCCCCTGAGACGGACAGGGAAACAGGGCAAGAGAGACATCATCAAACTTGCTTAAACCCGCATCCAGAAAGGGGCATGACAAGTGCCTTTACGTGCTGAATCATCTTGCCAGGATGAATTTCATTTAAAAATATATGTATCTATATAGATATAATAGATGGATGGATGGGTGGATGAGCAGTGCCCATGCCTAATTCTAGTACTCATGAGGCTAAAGCAAAAGCATCTTGAGTCAGGTCAGCCTTAGCTACAGAGAGTTTAAGGCCAGCTGGATTACATAGCAAGACTTTGAGGGAGGTGGGAGGGGCACCCCTGTATACTCACACACACTCACAGACAGCACACACATATACCACTGTTACACACATGTGTGCGCACACGCGTACAAGTGTGCGCGTGCGCACACGTGCACACACACATAAACAAAGGGGAGAGAGAGAAATAATGAATGGGCAAAGGACTTGAAAGACAATTCTTTCTCCTAAGAAGATATATGGGGCTAGAAAATTGTCTTAATGGTTAAGTGTACTTGTTACTCTAGCACAGGATCAGAGCTCAGTTCCCAGTGCCCGCATGCTGGCTCACAGCACCCATATCTCCAGTTCCAGGGCAGCTGGTACTCTCCTCCTGGGCATCAAGCACAAACACAGTGCATACACAGAGGTAAAACATTCAAACACATAAAATAAAACTAAGTAATTTTGATCAATTTTGCACAATTGATCAAAAAGCACATAAAATGGTGACTGGTATCTTCGGCCATTAGAGAAATGTGAATGGCACCTGCAGTGAGAACCTACTCATGAGAATAGCTCACACGGGAAAGGAAGCAAGGTGTTGGGGAGGAGTAGAGAATTAGCCACTGAGGACCTCTCGTGAGTGAGACAGGCTTCAGCAGCCAGCGGTTCCATTAAGTTGGCAGCGGAACTCCTGTAGACAGATACTCAAGAGCAGACTCCTTGACTCCTTCCCTCTCAACTCCTCACCCAGGGATCTTTAGATGGCCCCAGGTACACAGTGAAAGAAACCAGCTGTGCAAATCAGAATCTGTGGCAGTCAATTATTAAAATCTCTATTTTAAATCAATATTTTGGGGAGCTTGAGAAATGGCTCCATGGTTAAGAGCACTTCCTGCTCTTACAGAGGAGTCACGCTCAGCCCCCAGGACCCATGTGGTGGTTCACAGTCAGTTCCAGGAGATCTGATGTCTTCTCTTGCCTCCATGGGCACCAAGTACACGCATGGCAGATAGACATACACTCAGGCAAAACACTCATGCATATAAAGTAAAAGCAAATCTTTCTTTAAATCAATGCTCTTGTATATACATGGTGTTTGCATTGACAAGCATGGAAGCAGGTTTGCATTCTAATAAGGTGGGTGTTTGTCATCTCACCAGAGACGCTGCAAGGTCTGGAGCGCCTCCAAGGTTGCAGAGTTGATCAGTATTTAGATTTTATAATCGTCAGTGTTGAGAATGCTGCTTCATAGAAATACATAGCACAAAATGACACAGATACACTTAGAATTTGTTTGAAATTCTGTCCTAATCTCGAAATAAAATTCATTAAATGATTTCTTTTTTCAAATAAAATTTAAGTCTGCAACTCAAGGGACAGTGGTGAGCCATTGAATGTTTATGTGTTTCTTGTTGTCCTCTGGGTGTTTTGTTTGTTTTGGAGTTTTGCCAAAGTGGGTTTCCCCAAGCACAACATAGAGGAAGAGAGATCTGCAGCTGGGCCCTGCCGTGGACCTGAAGGAGCAGGCTCCAGTGCAGCACGAGGGGCTGCCCCTGCAGAGGGCCCCTTCAGAAGCAGTCTGTCTTGGCGATGGTAGCGAGGGAAGATGGGGCCTGGGTACAGGTAGAGATCCAGGAAAAGGAATTGCCTTCTCACATATTAAGGAGAAAAAGAGGAAGGTGGGCACTGGGGACCTAGTGACGACCTCTCCAAGTGGCAACTGTGACCTGGTTGGGGGAGCAACTCAGATACATATTGGGTGTGGTGGTTTGAATGGAAGTGGTTCCCATAGACTCACAGAGAGGGGCACTACTAGGAGGTGTGGCCTTGCTGGAGTAGATGTGGTGTTGTTGGAGAAAGTGTGCCGCTGGGAATGGGCTTTAAGGTTTCAGAAGCTCAAGCCAGGCCCAGTGGCTCACTCTTTCTTCCTTTTGACTGCCAGTCCAGATGGAGACTTCTCAGCTACTTCTTGAGCACTATTCTGTCTGCGTGCCACCATGCTTTCTCCATGACAACAATGGACTAAACCAGCCCAGTAAAATGTTTCCCTTTATAGGAGCTGCCATTCTTATGCTGTGTCTTCTCAGCATAGAAACCTAGGACATGGGTTGGTGCTGGGGATTCAAGCCCTGCTCAGCCCTTGTCCTCCGTGGCCCCTCCCTGATCCCCCAAGTTAGGAGCTTAAAGCTAAGGCAGTGGTGACTTCTGTCTGCTGTGCCAGGGAGTTTGTGGGAGTGAATGGAAGCTCAGCTGTAAGGTGAGATTCAGAGGGGATGGAGGGGAGGGGACTGAACACAATGGCAAGGAGGGACAAGGACACTTTGGAGTGCACAGTTGGCAAAGACCAGAGAAGGAAGGAGACAGCAGAAGAGAAGCTATAAAGGCCATAAACCACAGGTGGCGCTCCACTAAGTCCAATGGCCATTAAGCCAAATTGTCTGAGCTGCAACCCAGGAACCCAGGCAGTAGGAGGAAACCAGCTCCTGCAGGTTGGCCTCTGACCTTCACAGTCAAGAGCATGGCACCTGCTCCTCACTCCCAATGAATGTTTAAGGACAGGAGGGAGGGAAGGAGACCCTGCAAGGAAATTGGGTTTTCAACTCTCTGAGCACTGAGAAATCAGGCGTAGCAAGGCCAAGACCAACCGGATACCCAAGGCTCACCCTCAAGAGAACAGTTTTCACGAAGCAGCCAGGGAGGTAAACAAGGGAATGCGTGAGAATGAATCATAACTTGTTTGAGCAAAGGATCATTTTAGTTTGCGTTACCACCCAGGCAGAGCCTGTGACAAGGATTTGAATGGAATTTGTGTGACTGGGCGTGCGATTGCTCAGATGACCACTGTGGGCAGCGAGAGCTCTGTCTCCCCCAGAGAAACTTGAGAATGTGCCACAGGCCTCAGCACTGTATCCTGAGGGGTGAAGGGGATGGGCGCTTATCCACCCCACCCCTTCCCAAAATCCTGAGTGGAGCTGACTAGGGAGAAGCTCTCTGAGATGTGTTGTGGGACTTTCTACAAGGCAGGTAGGTGGCCTCTGTAGCATGAACAATAAAACCCCAAAAAAGGATTTTGGGGTTTAAGCTGAACATCAGAAAAGCAAAGCAGCCAGCCACTAAAGAGACCTATTACTTCTGCCAAATCTGCAGACCAAAAGGGTGAGATCCTGTCTCCACAAACACTCAGGCTCCACATTCTGGTGAGTATATTCCTCTCTCTGCCCAGCCGTATCACTCCTGTCTACACCTTGCTGTCTTTCGAGTCCTGGGATTAAAGGTGTGTGTCACTACTCTCTGGCCTGTGTGGCTGACTAATGTGTCTGCTTTGCTCTGATCTTCAGGCAAGCTTTATTTATGAAAACACACATAATACAGCACTCTAGACCTCTGTGGTTGAGCATATATGTGCAGGTCTGTGTGGGGCAGGGTCATGCTAAGAAGTATTTGTGAGCCAGGAAAAAGGGAATCGGGGAGCCTGGTGTCCTGGCACATTGCGGGGGAAGGAGAGAGCAGATAGCTGGTACCAAGGTATAGGCCAGTTGTTAGATTGTGGAGAGAGCTCCTTCCAGGACAAGCAAAGCATCTGCAAATGCCGGGAGGGGGACAAGGATAAAGGAGAGAAAAACTGGAGACTAGGCAGCTTAGTGTTATGGTGAGGTCTCACTCTGGCTCCAGGGGAGTCCCGTGATTTGAAGGCAAAGGAGGCTTGAGGGAAGACCTTACTTTGAAATTACCAGAGAAGGATCTTGTGGGTAAATTAGAATTCACAATTACATTGTTTCTAGAAGCCAGAAACCTGAGACATGTTTAATTTTTAACCTGTGAGGCTCTGACAGAAATGGCCCAGTGGCGCCCCCTGCTGCTCACCTCAGAAATCCCTCGCAAACACGAATGCTTCCCACCAGCTCGGCTGGATCTGAAAGAGGAACAGACCCTAAGGAGTGGAAAGATCTTCAACAGATACCTTTATCTTCATGGACAATGGAACAGTTTTCACAGAAATGGACCTGTCCTCCCCACTGATGTGACTGCTAACAGCCCCGGCGGAGGAAGGGCATGCTTCTCTGCACTTCCGAGGCAGTAGGCGGGGAATACCGGCTCAGCCTACAACTGAGGTGTCCATCGTTACTGACGTGACACGGGGACGAGTGTGCACCAGGTTCCAGCAGGACTCTGACGTGAGGCATTTGGCTGAAGTCTGGGGAAGAGGCTGAGAATCCTGCCAGTTCTCCCTGGACACACCAGGCACAGAATAGTGTCGAACACATGGTTCTCTGCAGTCAGTCTGAGAGCTTAAAACATAAACCTATTCAGGGCTGGCTAGATGGCTGACAGGGAGAGGTGTCACTGCCGCCACTCGGGGTTGATCCCTGGGACCCACATTAAAGGAGAGAATTTCCCCCACAAACTGTTTACTGACCTCCAAACACCCATGGCGACACGCTCACACCCAGCAGACACCCACTACCATACACAAGATAAAATTAGATATCATTCAGTTCAGTTCAACAGAATCCATCGTCGGAAAGGTAAGACCGTGCCTCATTCATCCACAAGGTTTCTGTTACAGATGTTAGAGAAGGGCCTATTACCTTTCTTGGCTATTTAGTCCAGGTTAATTTTTGTCAACTCAACATGAGCTAAAGTACCCTGGGAAGGTGGAGCCTCCATCCGATTGCCCTGTGAGCATGTCTGTGGGGGCATCTTCTTGCTTGCTAACTGCTGCAGGAGGGCCCACCACGTTGTGGGTGGTGCAACCCCTAAGCGGGTGGCCCTGGGCTGTAGACAGAAAGTAGCTGAGGAAGCCAAGGAGCCAAGCCAGTAAGCAGCTTCTTTCTGTGGTTCCTGCTTGAGTTCCTACCGAGGCAGTTCCAGGACAGCCAGGACTACATAGAGAGTGACTCGGCTGAGCTACTACTATGCATGCCCAAAGTACTCTGACTCCTCTCATAAAGACATTATATGCCCACGTTCATTGCTGTTCAACTGATAAGAGCAAGTTAGCCTAGACGCCCATCATTTGTGGAGTACACACACACACACACACACACACACCTGACTTTAAAAAACAAACAAAATGAATCCTAATGTTGAACTTAATGTGTGAAACGATTTCAGCCTGGTCCATTCAAATGCTAATTAATTCTAGAACCTGAGTCCTTAGGTTACTTTGACAGACACTTTCCTAGGGAATATATTCTTAATATACAACTGAAGAAACTGAGACTTTTAGTAAGACTGTGACACATATATAGTGATGGATATATATGTTTGTCACAACGGAAATGGCAGGTAAGCCCAATCACTGTGAACAATAAAACTCAAGGTCTGGGCACGTTTACTGTGTATGTATAGAAAAAGAACTATGTCATTAAGTCTCACTGAAAGAGAGAGATAATTAATGCTTTACATTTATTAATTTTGTATTTATGTGTTAATTTACATGTGTGTTTATACGTGTGTATAAAGATCAGAAGACAACCTCAGATGTCATTCTTCAGGCACTGTCTGGTTTTTTGGATAGGCTGGCTGGCCAGTGAGCTAGGGATCCATCTGTCTCTACTTCCCCAGGGCTAGGAATATAAACCACATCTGGCCTTTTACATGAGTTCTGGGATCACATCCATGTCCTCAGGCTTGCATGGCTGAGCTATCTCTCCAGTTCACACCTCTCTTTTAGAAGGTAATTGCATTGTTAAAGTGTTCTTCATTAAATGTTCAGAGACGTTAACTGACTTTCGCTAGGCGAATTTGATGTGGGATGTCCTTAATTCTTTGTCCTTTACTCATTGCTTAATGAATAAAGCTGTTCGACCAATAGTTTAGCAGAGTAAAAGCAAATGGGAAATCTGAACAGAGATAGAGAGAAGTAGTAGGCAGAGTCAAAGAGACGTCATGTAGCTGCGAAGCAAAAGGACTCCAGAACCTTACCAGTAAGCTACAGCCTCGTGGTGATATACAGATTAATAGAAATGGGTTAATTTAAGATGTAAGAGCTAGCTAGGAATATGCCTAAGCTATTGGCCAAACAGTGTTGTAATTAATAAAAATTTCTGTGTGATTATTCGGGTCTGGGTGGCCAGGAAACTACAGTGCAGTCTCTGTTTACATGAACTTAAAATGTAAATCTGAAGATTAAGCTGAGGACCACACTGTGTACAAATATACTCTGTTGCCAGACTTTATTCCATATGGAATATGCATGTTTTGTGGTGAGATGGGCTGGCTTTGCTGCTGGGATAGTGAAGCTTTGGCCATTGTGGACTCTTTTCTGACTGTTGTCACTTAAGAGATTGCGTTCTTAAGAGTCCAAGCACTGTTCTTGTGCCTTTAAGTTTAGTCTATGTGTGAGTGTGTGTGTTATGCACATATGCATAGGTGTGCATGTGTTCCCACGAGCACACATGTGTGGGTACCTGTGGAGGCCAGAAGATGACATAGATCCCTTGAAACTGGAGTTACAGGTAGTTGTGAATTCCCCCAAAAGGTGTTCAAGGCCAAACCTAGGCCTTCTGCATAAGAACTGCTGAGCCCCTCTCTAGTGCCTTCTTGTGCCTCTCAATAAAGTAAATATTATTCATTTAGAATAAGTTTTCCCTGTTTGTTTGGCTTTTTGTTTTTGTTTTCTGAGAGAGGGTTTTTCTGTGAAATAGCACTGGCTGTCCTGGAACTTGCTCTGTAGTAGCCCAGGCTGGCCTCGAACTCACAGAGATCCACCTGCCTCTGCCTCTTGAGTGCTGGGATTAAAGGTGTGCACCACCACTGCCCGGCTTAGAATAGTTTTAGGTTTAGAGAAAAGTAGAGTGGAAAGACAGAGCATCCCCATCCCCCCACCTACTCTAGCACACATGCTCCCCACTCTTCCACACCTGTGCCAGAGTGATGGTCTTACCATGACACCTCACAGTTCAGGGAGCCTCTGTGGTAGAGTCACACACGGCTATCATGCGCCCGCTTTTGGTGTGTCATCTTTCTCATCACCCTGTAAATGGCCTTGCGGCCAGCACCATTCCAGTGTTTTTAAATGGCTGGCGCTCCAGCAGGCGCTCTTGAGTTAGGAAACCCAGATATAATAAATGTGCGGCACAGTGTCTAGCATGTAATACTGGGCTCTGTGAGCAAGAATATCAGGCTGCGGAACAATCCTCTCCCATGCAACCTTCCGTGTGTTACATGCCATGGGCGCTTTTTTGCTTACAATACTTTCAATCTCTGATCTCTTCGTTAGGGATAACGGGCATTACTATGGTAAAAGGCGATAGGGAACACATGCCCTTCGTGGCCTGGGTCTGTCCTCCAAAGCTAAGAGTTACTGTAGTAATCACCACCACTACGAGTTTCTTTTGGGGCACTAGCGATCAAGCACAAAGCTTCCTACATGCTGGTTAGGTTGTTCTTCTAATAAGCAATCATCCCCAGTTACCACCGCCTAAACTTCTGGAGGCTTCACAATCCCTGACTTCAAACTCTGCTACAGAGCTACAGTACTGAAAACAGCCTATTGGCATAAGAACAGACAAGAGGACCAATGGAACTGAATAGAAGACCCGGATATCAATCCACCCTCCTTCAAACACCTGATTTTTGACAAAAAAGCAGAAAATATCAAAGGGAAAACAGAAAACATATTTAACAAGTGGTGCTGGCATAACTGGATTTCAACATGTAGAAGAATGAAAATAGACCCATATCTATCACCATGCACAAAACTCAAGTCCAAATGGATCAAAGACCTCAACATAAAGCCAGTCACATTGAACCTTATAGAAGAGAAAGTGGGAAGTATACTTGAAAACATTGGCACAGGAGATCACTTCCTAAATATAACTGCAGTAGCACAGACACTGAAAGAAACAATAAGTGGGACCTCCTGAAACTGAAAAGCTTCTGGAAAGCAAAGGACATGGTCAACAAGACAAAATGACAGCTTACAGAATGGGGAAAGATCTTCACTAACCCCACATCAGACAGAGGTCTGATCTCCAAAATATACAAAGAACTCAAGAAATTGGACAGCAAAAAGAATCACATAATCCAATTTAAAAAAATGGAGTACAGACCTAAACAGAGAACTCTCAACAGAGGAATCTAAAATGGCTGAAAGACACTTAAGGTAATGTTCAACATCCTTAGTCATCAGAGAAATGCCAATCAAAACAACTCTGAGATTCCATCTTACACTTGTAAGAATGGTCAAAATCAAAAACACTGATGACAACTTATGCTGGAGACGTTGTGGGGTAAAGGGAACACTTTTGCATTGCTAGTGGGAATGCAAGCTGGTATATCCTCTTTGGATGTCAACAAGAAGACCGAGTCCTGTATGTAAAAGCAAAGAGCCTTTATTTTATGCAAGTTCACAAACTCAGTCTCTCCACATGTCAAATGTATTGGAGTAAACGGAGAGCCCCAAGCTCAGTTACAGTTGGGTTTTATAGTAGTAGAGATGGGGGTGAGGGGTTTTTGGGGTTCAGGACTCCTGATTGGCTGACATTTCTAGGGGTGTCCTGGTGAGTGTGCCTGCAGGTGATCCTATCTACAGCGGTTGGAATGTTAGGTATTTCTTTTGGGTGGTCTGTTTTTCAGTGGTGCTCAAGTAATCTCAGCTGTGGTTCTTCCTGCAGCCAGGTATTGCTTCAGGGTAAACTACTGAGACTCAGGTCTCTTTTTTTTATTGACATTTATTGAGTTCTACATTTTTCTCTGCTCCCCTTCCTGCTGATTTCTCAGAAAATTAGGAAACAACCTTTCTCAAGACCCAGCAATACCACTTTTGGGTATATAACCAAAGGATGCTCAATTGTGCCAAAAGGAAATGTTCTCAACTATGTTCATTGCAGCATTGTTTGTCATAGCCAGAACCTGGAGACAACCTAAATGCCCCTTGACTGAAGAATGGATACGGAAAATGTGGTACATTTACACAGTGGAGTACCACACAGCAGAAAAACATAACAACATCTTGAATTTTGCAGGAAAATGGATGAAACTAAAAAACATTATTTTGAGTGAGGTAACTCAGACACAGAAAGACAATTATCACATGTACTCACTCATAGGTGGTTTTTAAACATAAAGCAAAGAAAGCCAGCCTACAAATCACAATCCCAGAGAACTTAGACAACAATGAGGACACTAAGAGAGACATATAGATATAATCTACATGGGAAGTAGAAAAAGACAAGATCTCCTGAGTAAATTGGGAGCCAGGGGGCCTTGGAGGATTGTTGAAGGGGGAGGGGAGAGGCAGGAAGGGGAGCAGAGAAAAATGTAGAACTCAATAAATATCAATAAAAAAAAAGAGACCTGAGTCTCAGTAGTTTACCCTGAAGCAATACCTGGCTGCAGGAAGAACCACAGTTGAGATTACTTGAGCACCACTGAGAAACAGACCACCCAAAAGAAATACCTAACATTCCAACCGCTGTAGATAGGATCACCTGCAGGCACACTCACCAGGACACCCCTAGAAATGTCAGCCAATCAGGAGTCCTGAACCCCAAAAACCCCTCACCCCCATCTCTACTACTATAAAACCCAACTGTAACTGAGCTTGGGGCTCTCCGTTTACTCCAATACATTTGACATGTGGAGAGACTGAGTTTGTGAACTTGCATAAAATAAAGGCTCTTTGCTTTTACATACAGGACTCGGTCTTCTTGTTGGCTTTTGGGGGACTTTGCAGATTTGGGCATAACAGCACTAAGGATGGCAAGTACCTTGTAGGAATTTGCATGGGTAAGTTCCGAACAGTTCACAGGTTCTTGCTCACTGGTTGGAAATCTTTGAGTATTGTTGGGACTTTATCAATGGAAAAGGGTCTAAGGACAGAGGAGACGAAAGGCTGAAAGAAGAAAGGATCATGGTGTGCACAGTTAGGTATGGAATGGGTCCCAGACAGAGAGTGGTGTGCACACTTAGGTATGGAATGGGTCCCAGACAGAGAGTGGTGTGCACACTTAGGTATGGAATGGGTCCCAGACAGAGAGTGGTGTGCACACTTAGGTATGGAATGGGTCCCAGACAGAGAGTGGTGTGCACACTTAGGTATGGAATGGGTCCCAGACAGAGAGTGGTGTGCACACTTAGGTATGGAATGGGTCCCAGACAGAGAGTGGTGTGCACACTTAGGTATGGAATGGGTCCCAGACAGAGAGTGGTGTGCACACTTAGGTATGGAATGGGTCCCAGACAGAGAGTGGTGTGCACACTTAGGTATGGAATGGGTCCCAGACAGAGAGTGGTGTGCACACTTAGGTATGGAATGGGTCCCAGACAGAGAGTGGTGTGCACACTTAGGTATGGAATGGGTCCCAGACAGAGAGTGGTGTGCACACTTAGGTATGGAATGGGTCCCAGACAGAGAGTGGTGTGCACACTTAGGTATGGAATGGGTCCCAGACAGAGAGTGGTGTGCACACTTAGGTATGGAATGGGTCCCAGACAGAGAGTGGTGTGCACACTTAGGTATGGAATGGGTCCCAGACAGAGAGTGGTGTGCACACTTAGGTATGGAATGGGTCCCAGACAGAGAGTGGTGTGCACACTTAGGTATGGAATGGGTCCCAGACAGAGAGTTACTGACAACATGGAAATAAGCAAGCAGAAAACGCCTTGTTCTTGGGTACTGGAGAGACAACTCTGGAGTCAGTGTGGTCCACGTGCCGAGGGTCTGTTCAGTTCCCAGCACAAGCGAGGCCCACAACTATTCGTGATTCCTGTTCCAGGGGA